GTGTGTGTGTGTGTGTGTGTGTGTGTGTGTGTGTGTGTGTGTGTGTGTGTGTGTGTGTGTGTGTGTGTGTCTACAGGAAGGCCGACTGCCACTGGACTTCTGTCACTGGGAGACCCCAGTGCTGTTTGAGTGTAACCATGCCTGCTCCTGCTGGAGGACCTGCAGGAACAGGGTTGTTCAAAACGGACTCAGGTCTTTAGATTAATTTATTTTTGTGTAATCTTTATCTAACTGTGCAGGGCAGATGAAGAACAGTGTCTTATTTACAGCTGGGGCCTGTCACATGACTCTAAAATGTCTATAAAACAGACTGCCATCAGCTGATTGACCGAGCTCATGTAAACTAGAAAATTCACATTTTCTGCAAAAAATGCAGCATGAATGAAATTATTTTTGCAGGAAAGAAAGAAAAAGATGTACAAAAATGTTGTAATTTTTTGAAGCTTGCTTTCAAACATAAAACTAAAGTTAGCAGAAACGTAGCTAAAACGTAGGTGAAAAAGCTTAATCTAGCACAAAGAAGCAGAAAGAGCTCATGTTTGCTGAATTAAGTAGTACGAAGCTGAAATTATAATAATGTGAAATTAGCTGTGAAAAAGTTAAATTAGCAGAAAATAACTATAAATTAGCTTAAATTGCAGAAACAGCAGAAAGAAAAAGGCATAAATTTAGCAGGATAGCTGAAAATAACAGAAAGATGGTACAAAATAAAAAAAAAAGCTAAAAGAAGCTGAAGGCAGCAAAAATGAGCTCAAAGAAGTAAAAAAAAACAGAACAAAAGATGAAAAATTAAGAAAAGTTTAAACTGTTTTCAAGGATTATAAAAATGTTGAAGACAGCTCCCTTCATTTTCATTGAGAATAAAAATGGCAGAAGAGCAAAATATCTCAACAAGWATATGTTGCTAAAAGGCCAAAAGTCATAGCTGGAATGTCCCAAAGCAGCTGAAGGTTTTGATACATGAATTGTTGAAATAACACAAAATATACAAAACAAGATCTGTGCAATTTGGATGATCTGACTGTTTTGAATGCTTAATAGCTTTCACACAATAATAACAGAACATCTCCATGTTGTTAGAAAAGGTTTCTGCATTACTTTAAGGTGGCTTGAAGCTTAAAAACAAAACAAACAAAAAAACAAGTAGTGGTCATGGTAGGAAGATGGAAACAGCAGGTCCTAACAGGTTCTGTACCTGACATGACTTATTCTGTGAATCTTGACTTGTTTTTATTTTTAGTGTCATCATGATCAAACTTATGCTGTGGAAGAATTAAAGACATATTTGATATATATGCACTGTTAAGGTTATTATACTCCATTCTCATTGTTGTAGTTGTGTGACAAAAATATGTTGTTGTAGCTCCTCCCTCTTCTTGGCACTAGGCCTGGGTCAAACCTGGGTCAGTCGTCACCTTGAGGGCCTCAACAGATAAGTCACAACACACTTTCTCACCACTAGTAGCAGTAGTCCACCTGATGTTATCAACTATAATTAGGAAAGGTTCCAAGTTGTTTTTCCTAACACAACAAAAGCTGGTGTTAGTTTTATTTGAAGGTGTGTTCCACTGTGCCAGCTGCTGGCTGACATCACAGCTCTCTGTCACAGAGTCCGACTGCAGCTCTTCAGGACAGAGAGGATGGGCTGGGGAGTCAGGGCCATGCAGGATATCCCTCAAGGAACATTCATCTGCGAGTGAGAAGACAGCGTAACGAGAGAAAAGCTGGAATTCAATGTTGTATAAATAAMGTGCTTCTGCTGAGTTCCTGCTCTGGATCCTTCCACAGATATGTTGGAGAGATCATCACTGATGCAGAGGCTGACAAACGAGAGAGTGACTCTTTCCTCTTCACCCTGGACAACAAGGTGATACAGTTAACTCAGATAATAACGAATATAAACAAGGACTAATATCAATAAAATAACAACTCATGAATTTCTAAAGGTGTATTTTCCACACATAGTTAATGTTGATGTAAAACAAACGTGTCCTGGAGAGTGGATATCAGCAGGTTTTCTTGTTTCCCTGCTCCAACACACCTGAYAGGAAGGAATGGATGATTAACAGGCTTCTCCAGGGTTGAACAGGTTATTGAATCAGATGTGTTGCAGCAAAAAAACAAGATGAACCTGCAGGAGAGTGGCTCAGGAGGACCTGAGAAACCCTCACCCCTGATGTTGAGTTATTCTCAAACTGGTACAGGAGGGTCAGTGTATCTTTTGGTCATTGGATTTTCATTTCTGAAACGGGTATTAAAAAACAAGAAATGAGTGGATATTTGATTTTTGTTTTAAAATACTGGAATTAAAATTAAAATACAAAACCATTCTCATTCTTAGTGTCAAAAGGGGATAAAAATTATTTGTTTCATTTTCTGTTTCAGATAGCAAAAAAGAAAATTACCTGAAGACAGAAATGGAAAAAGGCTTGTTTGTATTCTATGACTATTTATTCCCCCACCAGAGG